TCGGGAGTTGCATAATCTCATAGTCATAGGAACATGTATAAGTCATGAAGAAAGCAATAGCAACATACTAAACGATCAAGTGCTAAGCTAATGGAATGGGTCAAGTCAATCACATCATTCTCTAATGATGTGATCCCGTTAATCAAATGACAACTCATGTCTGTGGCTAGGAAACTTAACCATCTTTGATTCAACGAGCTAGTCAAGTAGAGGCATACTAGTGACAATCTGTTTGTCTATATATTCACACATGTACTAAGTTTCCGGTTAATACAATTCTAGCATGAATAATAAACATTTATCATGAAATAAGGAAATAAATAATAATTCGATCAGGCATGGAGAAATCAGGTAGAAACTTTCACGCAAAAAGGGAGTGTTGGAATTAAAGTGAATCATGACATAGGTCATTACTTCTAGACACACAAAGGTCTAAGGCAAGGAGATCCGATGTCACCTATTTTGTTCAACATAGTGGTCGATATGTTGACAATTCTAATAGGAAGGGCTAAGGATGCTGGCCAGGTAGGTGGCTTCGTTCCGCATTTAGTTGACGGAGGTGTGTCCATCCTACAGTACGCTGATGATACTATCATCTTCATGGAGCATGACTTGGCAAAAGCAAGGAACATGAAGCTGGTGTTATGCTTGTTCGAACAATTTACCGGGTTAAAGATTAACTACCATAAAAGCGAATTGTTCAGCTTTGGAAGAGCTAAAGACGAACAAGACGCTAATAAACAATTGTTCGGGTGCAAATTGGGGGCTTTACCCTTCACGTATTTGGGTATACCAATCCACCATCGCAAGCTTACAAATAGTGAATGGAAGTGCACTGAGGATCGATTTGAGAAAAAACTAAGCTGCTGGAAGGGCAAGCTTATGTCATACGGAGGCTGACTAATTCTTATTAACTCGGTTCTCACAAGTATGCCTATGTTTCTCGTGTCCCTTTTTGAGGTACCAGCTGGAGTCTGAAAAAGGCTTGATTTCTATCGATCGCGCTTCTTCTGGCAGAGCGATGAACTCAAACGAAAGTACAGACTCGCTAAATGGGACATCATCTATAGGCCGAAAGACCAAGGGGGCCTACGCATTGAAAATTTAGAGGTGAAGAATAGTGTCTTCTCAGCAAGTGGCTGTATAAGCTATCTATAGAGACGGACGCCACACGGGCTCAGATTCTCTGTAATAAGTACCTTCAATCCAAAACCTTGTCCCAGGTGACGGTGAGGCCGACTGACTCGCCTTTTTGGAAAGGACTGATGAGAGTAAAATCTGTCTTTTTCAACAGGACAAAGTTTATAGTTGGAAATGGTACTACCACGAGATTCTGGGAGGATACGTGGCTAGGGGAGACGCCCCTTGCAATCCAATATCCTTCTCTCTATAGTATTGTTCAGCGAAGAGACGCTTACGTTGCAACAGTACTACAGTCCATTCCTCTCAATATTCAATTTAGGAGGACGCTAGCGGGAAACCGTTGGGAAGCCTGACTCCATCTCGTGAGAAGATTGATGGATGTTCAGCTATCTCAAGAGCCCGATCAGTTCTGCTGGAAACTAACTAAGAAGGGAGAGGTTTTGGTTAAATCCATGTATTTGGATGTTATCAACTCTAGCTCTATTCCTCGTTCAAAACATGTTTAGGAAGTTAAAGTACCTTTGAAAATTAAAGTGTTTATGTGGTTTTTCCATAAACAAGCCATTTTAACTAAGGATAATTTGGCAAAACGCAACTGGACAGGATCTACAAGACGTAGTTTCTGTGATAGTGATGAATTCATCAAACACCTCTTTCTTGACTGTCCTTTGGCAAAAAAATTGTGGCGGTCGGTTCACATAGCATTTAATATTACTCCTCTGAATACTATCAACACGTTATGTGGGACGTGGCTAGACGGGATAGATTCGGAAACAACGAGACACATCCGTGTAGGAGTATGTGCTTTATTATGGGCAGTATGGAACTGCAGAAACGATTTGGTTTTTAATAGAACAACAAATATTCATTTCTTGCAGGTTATTTTATGAGCCACTGCACTGATCCGTATGTGGTCGCTACTCACTTCGACGGAGGCCAGGGAGTGTATGGTTACTGGATCTATCCGATGGGAGAAGGTAGCATGGGCTATCTTCAACCGGTTTGGATGGCGGTCATGTAATATATATGATAGGCATTTACTGTTCCTATCTTTTTTTATGCCAACTTGTTGTGGCTTTCCTGTATTTTGTTAGCTCTTTGTGAGCCTTTTTCCGTTCTTTTTTGAGACCTGAAGACTTATGTTGAACCTTTTCCTTATTAATAATATGGTCGTATGCATCGTTCTGCTGCAGAGTCCGGGGATCAACCCCCTTTTCGAAAAAAATACAACCAGTTTGCCTATTGATGTAACTTGATGTCCTATGCCTTATCCTGTAGATGAATGAAAACTTCACGTTCGACCTGAAAAAGGTAGTAGCCGTGCAACATTCAAGATGTCTCATGTGAAAGAAGTCAAATAATGCATTTTTGGGGGCACATTATGAACATAGATACTTGAAATGATTTGCTGAACTATATACTTTATGTCATGTTGAGTCTTATTTAGAGGTTGTTTGAACATTCTCCTTCCCATTCTAAAATGCCACAAGTTTCCTGTATCCTTTTTTGATTATTCTGCATTCACAGGGAGAGATCACAGTTGAAGCTGAAGGATGGTACGATTCTTGACCTGGAAAAACAGGTGCTTATATTTTTCTATTACTGTTTCTTGTAAAATATACTCCCTCTGTCTCGTAATGTAAGACCTTTTTCCATTAATGTTTTTTGATTCTAGTGTAGTGTCAAAAAATGTCTTACATTATGGGACGGAGGGAGTATAATCTTTGGGAGGTGGGTTTCAGTACAAGGCTATTGGTAAACTCCCCCTCCCCCTTGGCTCCGGCGTCGCTCCCGCAGGGGCGTCTTAGGCGGCGCTAATCCTAGCCACCGCCGGCTCCCTCGCCACCACTGGAGGGGGTCGCCGGAAAGCCGCATGTCCGCCGGGGAGGGTGGTGGCGAGGAACTGTCCGCCCTGTTTCGCGCATGGGGCTTTGGAGCCGGGGTGGCGGCCTCGGGTGGTGGTGCGTCGTCGTCTTCAGCTGGCGGCCGTCGCTGGTGCTGGCCGCCCCCTTTGGTCACGCGGGTGGCAAGCCGGCAGCGGGTGGTGGCTGCGGGGCGCGGTGGCTGCGGGGGGCGCCCGCCCCGGATCTGCGCCTCCGCCCCCAACATTTTTGGCCCTTGTCAGATCTGGTCTCCGGCTGCCCCAGGTCGTCGGCGCCCTTTCTGTGGTAGGGGTCGGGAGATGTGGGGCCTGGAGAAATCCATGGTTGGTTATGCCGGCCAGGACGATGGCGATGCCTGAGGGCGCCGTCTCCTACTTGTAGGTGCCGTCAAGGTGACCCCTTCCCTCCTTCTGCCTCTCTCCCCTGCTCATGCACCGGGGTGAAAACCCAAATCCCTCTGGATTGGGCGGCAGTGATGCTCGTGGCGCCGTCACCTTCATGGAGGTGCCGCCTTCAGTGAGCATGGGGTGGTGGCAAGTTCGGTCTAGTTGGTGGGCGTCCGGTGGCGACATGGTTGGAGTTGGTGGTGTCTTGGAGGTTCTTCTCCAAGTTCAGTGGCTTCCCACCATTGTTGCTCTGTCATCAGCAGCCCCACCGTGCATTTTGCTTCTCCTTGCGTGTTGGTTCCATCCCAGTGCCATGTTTGCCTTTGTGGAGCTCGGCGACGCGAGTTGGTGGTGCCTTGGTCTGGCTTTCCGGGAGGCAATGGCGTAGGTTGTACACCTTTGCTCTTGGGAGAGCGTTTGCATCGTCCGATGGATCGGCGCCTCGTGCGAGGTGAGGGGCTAGGGAGCCCCTTCGGAGATGTAGGAGGTTCTCAACAGTTCGGTCGGAGTCTATGGAGCTGTCAGCGTTACCCTCACATGCTAGTTGTTAATTCAAAGCCGGGCTCGACTTGAGCCTTCGTTCAAAAAAAAAGTAACATGACCTATATAATCACTGCGGATAAAAGACTTCAAATATTCCGTTAAGTTACAAAAGTCTATTGCGAAGAGTTCGCATGCTGATGATCTCAAAGGAGGTATGCTGATGCCACTAGCCATGGAATCAGATTCTGGAAAGGGTAAAAGGTCGTCAAGAACAAGCAAGAGAAGGAATTAGTGGCGACTTTGCTAGTATGAATGCATGAACCTTCACCAGTTGTTGTATATGCTAAGATTCTGCATGTTAACTTCTGACTTTGTGTGAGAAGCGCAAGTCGCTCTTTCATTGCAGTTTCTCTCACTGTACTAATCAAGTTCATCTGATGCACTCAGCAAGAAAAAGTAGAATCTGATACAAAATACAATTTTGTTACATACCGAGAAAGTAATTTCAGGAATGCACACTACATAACTGTAATACTGTTATGCATTACATAACTTGCAATTTGTAATTGTTCAAGCACTACAGCTCGAGCATTACAGATCTTCCATAAGGATGCGTAATTGCTCAAGCACTGTCAATAAATGACATTTTGTTCAACATGATTAGTTCTATAACTATCTAAATGTCGATGTTTTAGATACATTCCTTTTTACAGACTATTAGAGTAATAAAATAATTTTAGCAAAAAGTTAAAAAATAGTGGAGTGACTGATGATCGCAAAGGAGGTATGCTGGTGCCACAGGCCATAGAATCAGATTCTGGAAAAGGGTGAAAGGTCAGGAAGAACAAGAACAAGCAAGAGAATGAATTTGCGGCGACTTTGCCAGCATGACTGCATGAATCTCCATTATTTGCTGCATATTAAAGGGTCTGATATATCCTCTTTAAGAAATAGTACAATCTGTTACAAAGTAGAGTAGGTTACATTAGAGCCAGAAAGAAACTTAAGGAAGCTATGTGGATCTTACATTTAAAGATTATACATATCTAACATGTAATGCTCAAGCACTACATGACTGTAGTACGGATGTTTAGTGGCCCAAGCACTACATCTTGAGCATTACTGATCTTCCGTAAGGATGGCAAAATGAGAACCCAACGGTGGCCCAAAATGTCAACACAAAGCCGGCAGCTGTGACAACATATAGAACTAGGTCACTGGGCGTCTCTTCCACATCATTCCCCACAGCAGGATCTGGACCAGGAGCAGCACAAGTATTCCCCTGAGTAATCTCGTGAAGGTTGGCATTGGCTAGGTAGCTGTCCATGCTGAATGAGCCGAGCTGTCCATAGTTTGGTATGCATCCTGACAAGTTGTTGTATGCCACAGAGAATGCCCCCAATGATGACAATTGATTTAACTGCCAAGGTATTGGTCCACTCAGCTCATTGTGGGAGAGGTCCAAGCTTTCTATCTCCTCCATGCCTCCCAAGGTCGGCGGGATCGGGCCAACAAAGAAATTGTATGACAGGTTAAGGGATTTGACATGGCTTAGGTTCCCTAGCACCCAGGGAATTTCTCCATGCAACATGTTTGCAGATAAGTCGATTCCAGCCATTGAATCGAAGAAATCGCGACCGTACGTGTAGATATTCCCTTTGGTAGCAAAGCTGAAATCCCATAGGTCATAAGAAGTGTGATAGGAGTAAATTGCAAACCAATCGACCAACTGGAAAATTTGATCGTCTATGTCGCCTTGGAAAGAGATGTTACCAATACATGATGGTAACGAACCTGAAAGCATGTTGTGTGACATGTCAATTATCCTCAAGTACAGGAGTTTGCACAGGTTTGGAGTAATCTGTCCTTCAAACTTGTTTCTGCCCAAGGAAAGTAGCCTAATGTTATCAAGATAACCTAGCCAGTGCAGATTGCCTGTGAACTGATTCTGTCTGATATCCAAGGAAATCATATTTGATGTGTTGAAAAGGGTATAAGGAAAATCACCAGATAAGGAGTTTCCCGACAGGTTAAGAAAACTGAGTACTATAAAGCTGCAGTTCGGTAGAGGCCCTGTAAGGTTATTGCTTGATAGATCCAAAAGAAGAATTCCTATGATGCCACAAATTTTCTGATGAATTTTGCCCGTTATACGGTTGCCAGCAAGACTCAAGACGGCCAAAGATGATAGATTCCACAATGAAGCGCTAAGTCTTCCAGACAGCTTGTTATCATGCAAATCCATGACACTTGCATAACCTGATAGATTTTGGGGTATTGTTCCTTCAAATTTGTTCCTATCCAGGTACAGTTCATTTGTATTGATCTGACTATTGACCCCAGCAAAAATCTGACCACCAAGTTTGTTGTTTGAGACCCTGAACACGCCCGTGCAACTAGAGAACACACAGGCTGGAACTTCCCCAGAAAGTTTGTTGTTTGATAGGTCTAAAATATCCATCTGCCTCATCTCGCACAATGATGGTGGTATGTGCCCAGAGATGTTGTTACTAGAAAAATCTAGAACACTCAGCATTGGAAACAATGAGCCGATGTTGGTCGGCAACTGCCCCTCGACATGGTTCATGTGTATTCTAATAATCTTGAGGAACGATTGGGTATGCCATATTGGGCCCAGCGTTCCAGTTAGCGAGTTATTTCCCAGATGTAGTTCCTGTAGTGTTGATTCCTTTGTAAACAACCAATTTGGCATGCTACCCGACAAATTATTGTTAGACAAATCAAGCACCTCTAAATGACGCTGTGTGCGTAAAAAATACGGTTCCACAATAATGTTCTTGTCAAGGTCACATCCAGAAAGCAATAGCTGTTTCAATTGGAACATAGGTGTCCATCCAGGAATATTGACAATAACAACTAGGTTTGAATTGCCTGAAAGGTCTATCACTTCTAGTTTTCTGAGATTTCCAAGCCAAATGAAAGAAAATTTACCAGTCAAATTGTTTTGGGAAAACCAAAGACTCTTAAGCGAGGGTGACAGATTAAAAGACCGATTTGTCGGAATTTGTCCTCCAAGGAAATTTGTTGAGAGGTTCAACCGTTCAATATGTGGAAGCAAAAGCAAGAATGTTGGAATGCTTCCGCTGAATCGGTTGGAACTCAAATACAACTCTCGTAGCTTCTGAAGATTTACAAATTCTGCAGATATAGGAAAATCATGACGCTTAGCAACGCTGGCAACATTACTTTTGCTGATATAAGCGGGAAATGCTCATTTTGTACCTTGTTCAGTCGGAAGAGGTCCACTCAACTTATTATTCTCCAGATGTAAGACCTCAAGGGGAACTGGCCCCGAAGACAGATTAATAGGAAAACGCCCCTCAAAGTTATTATCTGAGAGATCTAGGGACTTCAGACGAGGAAGTGCAAATAATGACACAGGGAGAGATCCGCTGAACTGGTTGTCACCCAAATTCAAGCTCCTGATGTTTTCAAAAGCTGCAATGCATACAAGTAGCTAGTATAATTATTACAGGTGGCAGAAACTGAGGTAAACATGAAAATCCCTTTTCGAATGTAAGATATATTATTTTTACCTCTAACTGGGAGAGTTCCGTTGAGGCGATTATGACTGAGATCTAAGACTTCAAGTGAAATTGGTCCCAAGAATAAACTTCCTGGAATACTCCCACCGAATTCATTTCCCGAGAGATCTAGGATCTTTAGATGAGGAAGTGCAAATAGTGATCCTGGGAGGTTTCCGTTGAATCCATTCCAAGACATATTCAGTTGTCGCAAATTTCTAAGATTTTCAACAGCTGTAAAGTGTGTATGGACATGAGGATTACGGATATGAATATTTTTATATATGTCTATCTTGGTACTATAAGAATTACTTAGAATTATAATTTTTTATGACCTTACCTGTGGCTGGAAAACTTGCATTCATTTCGTTATCGTTGAGAGCTAAGACTTCCAGTGAAACAATTTTCCCAATAAATGCCAGGAAACCCCCTCCCAAAAGAGTGCCACTGAGGTCGAGATATCGAAGCTTGGATAGTCTAACTAGCCCTGCAGGTGTTTTTGTTTGCACAACCATGAGAATAAGAAGCCACCACACATGTATATTGTTCTAAGAGACTTTGGAGCACATACGTACCTTGCAAGCTTAACAAACAGGCAGGATTGTATGATAGATCTAGGTACTGAAGCTCATGGAATGTAGAAAACACTGTCAAGTTTAAAGACCAGCAATCATCTGCATCTATCGTGACATATACAGAGGAAAGGTTGAGATGAGACACTCTTTGTGTTCCATTGTTGCATTTCACACGCTCCCACGAGCAGCAGTCATCACCATCCTCCCCCCATGAAACAGGTGCAAGCATGGATCGCGTTCTCAGCAGGGAAGACCGGATGTCCAGTAGTGCAGCCCTCTCCTCCACGAAGCAGCCAGAGGACGAGTGGAGCATGGTCTGCAACAACACAAGTAGTATCAAAGACAATGATCCCCATGGCAACCAGCTACCCATATCTGATACATAATAAGCTTTCCCTTCTCCTGTCTGTGCGCATATAAATGGTGAGTGGTTCTAACGCCTGCAGGCTTGCTTTATCTTTCGGTAGCTTCATACTAAAAAAGACAAGGACATGCAAGGAATACAAGTCCAGGAGTACATCCTGGGACACACGGTGAGTTTACTTGGACCAACACTTGAGAAATCGTACACCATCCACCGGCCGGGGACTGAGGAAGGCGGACTAGACCCTAGGCAACTATGTGTGGTCGATGCTCTGCGCGGATTTCGCCACTGCCAGTTGCGTCCGGCCGCCGGCGACGGCGACGGCCGAAAGCGAACGAGTCCTCACTTCTTTCGCCGGGCCGGTAATAAGGCCGGCTAACTCTACTTCTTCCAGGCCCCACTTCTGCCCCACTTTCTTCCGGTAATAAGGCCGGGCCGGTAATAAGGCTGGGTTGGCCGCTTCTGCCAGGCTGCATCGCTTGCCTGGGCCTGGCCGAGCAACGCTCGCTGCCTCCCGTCGCTCGCTCGCTAACCGCCCGTTCGATCGCTGGCTCCTGCTCGATCATTTTTTTTCTCTCGCCAAAAATTGCTCCAGTATGCATTGACTTTCTTCTGGAAAAAATCAGCCGGTTTGCTACAGTATGTACTCTTGTATTAGAAAAAAGTTCATCGAATTTGAAAAAAGTTCATCGAATTCGAGAAAAAAGTTCATCAAATTTAACAAAAGGTTCATGAAATTTTGAAAAAGTTCATCGAATTTTAAAAAGAAGTTCATCGAATTTCAAAAAGTTCATCAAAATTGAGAAAAGTTCATCAAATTGAAAAAAATCATCAAAATTGAAGAAGTCAATCGATTTTGAAAAAAAAGTTCATCGTATTTCAAAAAAAATCTTTGATTTTGCAAAAAAATCGTCGCCTGTGAAAAGAGTTCACGCATTTAAGGAAAAAAGAAAAAAAAAAGAAAAAGGAAAAAGAAAGCAAACAGAAAAACAACTGTGTCTTTCCCATTTTAGAAAAGAAAACTACTCCCTCCGTCCGATAATATTATGGGACGGAGGGAGTAGCACATCCCGTCTTCTGATCAAAGTGGTTAGTGCGCTCGCTACTCAATCTGAACAACCATGGTTCGAGTCACAGTTGGATGGGCCGGCCCACTAAAAAACCTAGTGTACAGACGGGGTGTGCGCCCTGGACCGAATGCCCTATATTCGGCGCCAGGATTTGGCGTATATCTCACCCGCAGCGAGAGGGGAGCATCCTTTCC